ACTCGGATAAGTTTGGCTTCTCCATAGTGTGGCGAGTTCAGATGACGAGTAATTCGTAATAGGTTTATGGGCTTAGCTTTAACACTCATCAGCATACACAATGAGTTCCATTGGTCTTGGTCGTCCGATAAGTTATTTCGCAATATGATGGCGGTAGATTCAGGAACATTGCGCATACAACAGTCTGGGCACTAGTGTTGGATCTCTTTTTCGTTGATCTACAAAGTATGCTAATGGTTTGTCTTGACCTACTAACAAGTGTTGATTGTTTACTGTTTGTTCCTCTATTCGCGTTAACGGTGTTTACAACAGAAAAAACCGCAACGGCTGCCTTCCGCTGGACCTTTGCAACAATCTCTGCATTTGTAACTGATGTTCCGGGGAGCTTTGTCTCGACAAGACATTCGAGCTACAGGTTTCGACTGTTGGTGTTCGGCTGCTTCATTCTTGTTAATGCTACATTTCCGGTCTAGTGGAAGTTGCTTAACCAGACGTTTCGCGTGATGCCTGATTTTCTTTGCTATGAGTACTCTTTGACTCTCGTAGATACGGTCAGTTTTCGCCCAACGTTCTACCAAAGTTGGAGAAGACAACGGAGATGGAGACGGGGCTGAGTGCTGTTTGTGGAAAGCGGATTGTGCAGCGTTCCGCTGCTTAGAGGCCACTACGCTTCCGTGGTGCGTACTCGCCTTCATTGAAGTAACCGTAGCGTTTATCCCCTGCTCCGCCTCTGCGGTTAACCGGTAGCTGACACATATGTGCCAGCACGTAAGCGTACTTGTGGTCACTTGCCAAATCTCGATATCAATGCACTCTGTTTGTGGTCTCACCTGCACATGCTATATGTAGTCCATCGGTAGCTTTCTCGATAGGTACTGGTCTTGGCGCACAGTTATTTAAATCACCGTTGTGGTTATGTTATTTCGCGGCTAGTGTTGTTTCCACGAGGAGAGGGAGTGGCTGCAGTTCTCTAACCGCTGTCTTCAGCCGTAGTTCCAAAGGAAGTGTTTTGCGTTGTATCTGCCTTGTGTAGATAATGTTCAGCATCATCTGTTGTGATAGGATCACTAATTTCAGTATGCTTGGGCTAATGCCTCTGTAGTGAGGCGACACGAGTAACCGCATAATCGACTGAACTATAACGTCACCAGCACAGAGGGCTTCACGGATGCACCGTTATTCTTCCAAGTTATGAGCATCGGCGCTAGATGCCAACAGCTCAACACGCCAAAAACTAATATGAATCTGCTGCTACTCATTGTTTGGTAATCGTTTGTATTATTTTTGTCCTGCTACCAATCGCTCCATGGAACATCTAGAAATATGCGTATCCCACTGCCTTCTGTCCGCAAACCGTATGTCGACAAAAGCCTCGTCTCAATCTCCTCTATGGGTTCCAATGCTAATCGCATTAGCCGAGACTCCCCATAGTGCATCGAGGTTAGATGTCTAGTGATGCGCATTAAATTTGTATGCCTTGCCCGAACTCCGATTCGATGATAATAGAAGTTCCACTGTTACACCCATCTTGTTGTTCACCCCTATAAGGAGTTTACTTTGGACTCAAGAAGATGGATGCAAATGAATTTCAGGACATCACAATTCGCCTGCTCTTCGGTGATGTGGGAAGCACGGCTATCGGGACCTTTGGTGACGTATCTTTAGACTACACATGATTCTTGGCCCTTGTTGTGGCAGTAGAAAGTGAGGCTACAGGAGTCGCACTTTGATTATATGGAGCTGCGACGATTGCATACATGCACTGGTGTTCAGAGTGGTTTGGTTTGTGTCAGTCAGTTAGAACTGTGGGTGTTACCGATGTGGTATCCCTCGATACATTCTATAAGAGGACGTTGGATTTAGCGACCAGCATGCTTCGATCATCAGCGACGAAGGCTTGCTTCTTGGTTCCCAAGGTTGCTGGTACTGCGAATCCGTGGGAAAGCCTGGTCCTTTTCTTGGTTTCAAGGTAACACTTGTGGAAGACGGATGAGGTGAAAGCAGTGCAATTGCCGCCCTGAGCGAAGCAATTGTCACAAGTAAATGACTTCAGTGTTGGCGGCTAAACTATTTTACTTCGTGCTAATAGTAGTGCACCTCTTACTAATGGATCCGTTGTGCCCTCGGGACAGAACCAAAGTGAGTCCGACGTGATGTTAGATTTTTTAGTTCACTTCGGAAGACACTGACGTACTTCAGGTGGCAACGGTTAGTGCAGTTGGCACATGTCACTCCTACTTTTGCTACCCCATCACATGTCTGATTAGGACAAAATACTTCGTTTCGTATTCCAGTGTTGTTGCCATAGTGGCCTAATGGTCGTTGCCTGTTTTGCGGGTTAGCAGCGCCTCACTATGGGCTAGCATTTGAGTGCCGATCGTTAGGACAAGCTCAGATGACTGGCTCGTCTTGCTTCGTTGCGTGTCCGTGCGTCATACGATCGCGGGTATGGCGTCTGGTGTAGACAATTATTGTGCTGTGCAGGTTGGTTCATTGCACCGGCTGAAAGTAGTTGCGGTGAAACTTGGCGGTTGCTTCCCCGAGAAGGTTTCACCATGCAAGCGTTCATGATATGTAGTTGTCACATAAGGTGATGGAATGAGACGAGTGAATGCCTAATGGAAAGCTCGCAAACTCCTCTACGGAAAGATATAGAAATCCTGGGTGGGTGTTTGTAACAGCGAGAAAGTTCATGCCTGAATGAGGACGAAAAATTGCTCAACTTTGGAAATTCTATAGAGACATTATCTACTGAAATTATACAAAATATGCTTGTAGCAGCTGGGGCTCGTTAAACGGAGACAAAAAGTGCAAATCTAGCGACGTTCGACGAAATGTCACGTAGAGCATGCGCTGGTGCTGTCGGTCCTCCTCTGCGGCATCGGAACATGGACGCTGTACCGGAAGGACATCCGGTATTCGGAGTGCTTTTACCAATGTTGCTTTCGTCGGGATCTGTGTACCCGTTGGCGTGACAGTGTTAGTGGCACGAAAGTGCTCCGCCGAAGTGGAATACATGAAATGCACTGCACACTTCTGCTTTGACAGCTGAGGCAGTTTGCGCATGTCCGCTGTATGTATTCGACTCGGCTACCGAAACATCTGTTATTTGACCACCGGTGTGCAGGGAAGCGGGATGTGGATAAACCGAAGCTATGCAACTAAAAGATGATGACGGATTTATCAAGAACTAATTTAGTGTTGGGAAGCGATAACAGCGATCCGTCGACAACGTATGATTGCGTCACTTTGGTCGTTGTCCATGATTATGAGCAAGTATTCCTGTGCCAGGATGTAAACCGCCGGTTTTACAAGCGCTAGCTGCAGACTGAATTTGGTCCGTTGACATGTACTTGTCGTTGCGGCACATGCAGTCGTGGGTGCTTGAGCCACTCCGGTCTAGTACGCCCTCAACTTGGCCACGAGTGAGCAATATCCAAGAAATGACGAGTAAGCTGAATACGTAAGCATCATCGCAACGCTTGGTAACTACGTTGCTTCCGATTCCACTTAAAAATGCAAGATAAAAATAGTGCGGTAGATGTTGGTCGTATGCTACATCATCGCTTCAGTTGCATTTTAGGAGTTTGTTGTTAATTGTACTCCCTATTGTGGCTGCGCTTGATGTGAATGTTGACAAGTTGCCTACCCGTCGAAAAACCACCTCCATTATACTGTCACCAGGAAACATGAAGACGGGTGGCAAGGTCATCATGACGGTGTTAGGCTCAAATATTAGCTCCATCCTATGCAGAGCGGGTCAGGTCCCAGCCACCGCCTTGCGTACGTCTGGTACGCATTATTCTCCAATTAGCCAGACAGTACTGCTACTGTGCATGACGAATTAGTGTGGGGCGGCTCCGAATCGGTCATAGCTTCCGTCTTCATGTCTCATGGTCTTATTTCTTCGGATTTACGCTGGATAAGGGATGTGTTGATGGAGCTGTGAGTGGTGCAGCGCAAGCCACCTATGGTCCGTCTGCAGACGCCGGCGTCCTTCCACACTCCCATGAAGGCCTGCTGATAGTCAGATTCGGAAACGGATCTGCCCACCATATTTCATGTATTTTGGTATGTGTATATTACAAGCTGTCATAGTTTGCGTAGCTTGCTTTTTTAAACCTGTCGCATACAGTTTCCTAATTTTACTCAACTGGGGTAGACGGTTGATGTTGGTTTCGCATGTCAAAATGGAAGTTGAGTTCTGTTTCTTCCAACTGTGATATGGTGCAAGTTTGCTTTAAACACTGATGGGGCTGCTGGGCATGTGCAACTTCAGGCAGCGACGAAACTCTGGTCGAATAAGAAGTCGGGAAAGGTCAGAGCGGAACCAGCAACAGCACTACACATTAACTGTCTACGTAAATGGTACACCAGAGGATGTAGTATACAACTGACGCATAAAGCAACTATTCGTCTGCATTATATGCTTTGGTCAATATGGTCAGGAATAAGCTCTGTTTGACGAGGGTGGTTATTTCCAAGCGGATTCCCGGACAGCAAGGGTGAGGCAAACAATTTCACCTGTCTTTTGGATATGTGAAGTGAAGCGGAGTCGAACCCCATACTGAGTGTGATGAAGTTGCAGGGACCCCAGTTCTTAGGATGATATGAATAGCTATCCCACGATTCACCAACACAGTAGAAGCACAAAAGGGAATATCTATCACAGTTGATGTGAAAAGGAGGCGAGTCAATGACTATGTTTCCGCGCTTTTGGATTTTGACCTCAGCAGCAGATCTGGGTTCTCCCTTTTAGGGATATTATTCACAACTGTAGGGTCACCTGATTTCCTCACACTTCCGACTTCCTCATTTACTCAGCTGTTGCCACTGTCCGACCTATTTGAGTTTCAAACAACTTTGGCTGCAGTGTAGGATGGTGGGTTGCTTGGTACAAACGTGAATGATAACCCTTTCCAATAAATTCACTATATAAATCCATTCTAATGGTGTGATCTAACGGCATGGCCTGTCAAAGGGAACACCCATTTGCTTACCTCTGTTGTTTATGCAGCCGCCAGCATTGACGCCGACTTCCCATTGACCGGAGAAAATGGTTTCTTCCAAACGTCTCTGGCCACGAAAGTCTTGATTGTATTCCAGGCTTTCCAAGCCAAGGTGGCAAACTTCCAGCCGAGAAAAACAGGAGACAAAGTCCTCGAAGGACATCCTGGTTAAAATAGACGAGTAACAAGACCGGAGTTGTAACAGAAATGAAAGGTAAAAGGTGGTGTAAAACCCTAACCGGCTCCTTTGAATACCAACGTATTTAACAAATTCCTGCGTGTGAACAAAAAGCATACAAAATTGTAAACCCGCCATTTATCCTCATTATTTATTTGCTCGTCGGCAGGTGCATACTCGAAAATTTCACATTCGATGTTCAGTTGGGCACAACCAATACTCACATTACAAAACGCAAACCTGATTTTTGTATATTCTGGCCACCGTGGCTAATTGAAAAGTTGCCTTTAAGAAACCTTACCTTCCGTGACTAGTTTGACGACGTCTGTATAAATATTCAGAAGAATGTCACAGACAGTTCCGGTGTTGTTTATTTACTTCAGCTAGCGGTGGCAGTGCTATATTCGAACACTGACAAATGAGTTTTATTTCTCACTCACCTTGTCCAACCACCTGCACTGACCTTGGCTCTGTCTGGCTGTCCGTTTGACAGATGACGATCTCTTCATACACAGATTGCTTTCCATGTGGCTGTCATAACAACATTCAACCGCCTAGAAAATACTTCTTTTAGCTTACATCTCTCCAAGTTTGTAACAACTTACTTCACGCAATGGACACAGAAGAACCTGGAAGTCCGGACCACGCGTACACTACACGTATGTACGTATCATCAACTTCCTGACTAGTTCACCACTGACCTTAATTTATTCGCTGGGCAACTAGTAGATAGTTTCTAAGTCGTAAGTTACTTCTGTACATTTGAAATCAATTTTGCATAATCACATTTTCCGACTTCCGCTAAACTGAGTGAGGTCTTGGGAATCAACTAATGCTTGAGGCTAGGCCCACGGAGTACACTGAATTATGCATTGGCATTTACACCATGAACTATGCAATTATATTTTAGCTTATTATACACATGCGGAATCTGAGAAGGAAATGATGTCCTGTCACTTTAGTTTCCATCGATACTTTTCAGCCTAAGTTTTTGACTTGAACTATGCTTGTGGACCCTAGTATGCGCTTTGTATGAAAAGCCTTGTCTACTCAATGGCACTCATCAAACACCTATTAGTTCCCCGTTACCAGACACCAAGGTTCACGACCAACAGGTTCAACGAATAGAGTGGATAACATTTTAACAAGGCTAACTACAATTCGGACACGGACCCATTTGTAAAATCCATAGAAAGCTCCCCTTTACATCTTGGATACTACCTGCCTAGGTGCGTGAAAAAAGTACAAACTTAACCAACAGAACCCATAACTTTAATGATTCTACTGAAGTAGGTATCTTCGTATGCATGTAGTAAGCGAAAAGTTATTGTGGGTGCCCAGCAGTGCACAGCGACAACCGGAACCTCACGATAAGAACCTGCGTTATCGCCACTGATGTAGGTCGTCAAATGAATTGTGTGTCGATATCCTTCAATATCCGTTAGCAGTCGCAGTTCAAAGTCATGCAGATCTCTGCAACTAACCGACATCAACTACCTACATTGATTTTGAGCCACCTGACCACCACCGATGACACTTGCAAACTGGTTCCGCATTGACAGCACTGAAGACGGGAAGAAGTGACCACGACTTATGGTGTGTTTGTTTTCCCAGCGCTGTAAATATTGCATTTAGAAACCCACACGAATGGTACTAACGAATCGATTTGTCATTTTTCACACAATAATAGGTACGCCGCCTACGCGTATGTTTGTGCGAAGTAAACTGACTACCACGAGTGCAACAGTGTAACTTTTCCATACTTAGTAGCAGCAGGTATCTGACAGATCAGGAAACTGCCATCGGCTTGGATTCACCGACGAGTCCGGCCAAGAAATCCTCCTCGTGGTCATAGCAGTGACAGTCGGATAGGTTTTTCTTATTAGCCTCGAACCACAAAGCAACCTTGCATTGCTCGCTCTCTCGGGAGTGCACTATAAAGAGTGGTGCCATGGAATTCGGATCGCTTTCCTGCTCAAGTGCGGTATCCTGACATCATTACTGTCTGAAAACCAAGTGATAAGATTACATAAACAATCAGACACAAATTGAATTGGACGTCCAGTCCCGGAAAGCGTACCCTTATTTGATATATACAGAGGATTGCATAAGCGAAAATATTATGCCGATGCTGTCTCCATTATTTATCCTCCCGCACCCACGTCACATCTGCCCATTCCAGTCCGCAATCCGCTTGAGCTGACTTACAAACACCAGCCCCAAGGTCCCCTAATCCATCACCCCCATCGGTCGCTCACCCCAGTCGTATGCCGTCGTGAAAAGCGCTGGAAGTATTTTTTTGATAAGCTGTACCATGTTAGTGTACCATGGTCGGACATGTCAAGAAGAAGATTATCGCCGCATCCTTTCTCCTAACACACGTCAAATCCGAGCGCGATGCACCACAGTGGACAATATGGAACTCGATTGCTTTGACATTGATTTTGTAAAGATCAATAGGACGGAGATGGGCGAAAGGAATAAGTTGAATAACGAGGGAGCTGACTACACATTCTGCTGAAGTTGGAACGCCACAAAATCACTGCGTAAACCCAACGTCGGATTGACAAAGTTTGACGGTTTGAATGTCCAGCTGATATAGCAGTCGACTGGTATCAGCCTAACGATCATGTCAGCTGGCCTTCACATCGGATGGGGTAAGTCTGCGACACCTATTATCCCGCAGTACAGCGACCCATATTCTCTGTTGAAACGAAAACCCAGTTTTGCTCTCAGTTTGACTCACAATTGTCATCCGGAACGTGGTCTGTTCCGAGGAGTGACCGACTATTTCTGTTATGCGAATTTGAAGTGCACAGAGTGTGTGTGTGTGTGTGTGTGTGTGGGCAGGTGCAATCGAGCCCAGTGGTATTGAATTAGTGAACGCGAAGGGCGTTCGCTTGCTCTCTGAACATCACTCGTACTTAATAAATAGAAATAGTTTATTCTTCGCAATGTGAGGCACTTTTCATAGGCATAACGATGGCGGTGTATGCATAAACAGGACAACGAGCATAAGCTGATCAGAAAGGTAGGGATCTGTTTAGGCACGTGTGGCACAAGGAAGTGGAATGGAAAGGTTTGTTCTGATAAAGTGGACACGTATCAGTGTTTCGTGGTCAGACAAATCAAAAATGATAACCGTCGTATCCTGTACAGACTGATAAAGAGGGGCCAGATGAATATTTATAAACTGTTTGTGGTAAAGAGTAGGATGTCGTGAAATGTTTGCACTGAGTCAGAAAATGTTACTTGAGAATGGGAAGTTGCGATAGATGTGTGCCGCTGCTCCGTGTCGCAAACTTGTTGTACGGATTACATTGGCCGGAGCGAACTCTTTCCTGATTTGCATGTGTGGTGCGCGGCTAACGCAGTGCATTTAGACTTCCTTCCCTTTTACAACAAGGAAACCGCACGCCCTAGCAGGTCACTAACACATTGTTAACACACTACCACGAAAAGGCGTTGGTGCTCCCTACGCGTATTGTTCAACTGTGATTTCGTACTTCCTCAGGAATACATAACAGGATAGTGCAAACCGAGTAGGAGTGAGTTTTGCAGACCAGTGATTAGCGGTAACCCCGGGAAGGAATATTGTGGTAAAAAATCGTCTGAATACCTAAGTCACCAGCGACGTGAGCATTTCACTGTAACACCAGTGCAACGCCAACTAAACGGAAAAAAATTTGCTGCTATCCACAGAGAATTCCAGTCCAATGTTACCAAGAGTGGCGCAGCCCCGGGATGGAAAGTTGTGGTAAAAGCGATTGAAGGGGCAACCCACTTGCGTCATGGGCATTTCATTTACCTCGGTTGGACGCCAGGTAGTTGAACAGATTTGATCATCTCCACAGGCTTCTAATTCTGTGAGTAGTAAGAAGAAACTCTCCCGGGAAGGTCGTGCACAAATTGCGCGGTCACCACCACCGTGTTCGTGATTGACTAGGCAACAACACTTGACCCACCACAGACAGTGCGACTAACGGCGTTGCACATACGCAGTCTTGATGTAGCTTTGGCTTGTCTTCCACACAAGACAAGACAAACATTCCCACACGACAAATCCCCGCTGACATTGAGCCGCAGAACAAGTAGTTACTACGCAAACAAAAGACGATGATGGTGATGTCTTAAAACATCCCAGAACCTGTAGGAGAATCGTTAAAATGTAGACAAGCCGTAGCGCCAACTTGCTGTGCTGAGGTAAGCTGCGCACTCGGATTGAACATTCTCCAAAATAGTCTTACACGTCTATCACAAAACCCATAATCTCCGCATGTAGGGGAACCTCGGTTACTGTGAGTAATATTTGGTAACACACGCGAACTGGAATACGTTATCTTAGCAATCCACATTTTAGTGAACTCTACTATCAATGTCCGCATTTTTCCTGATAAGCCATGGGCGGAGAAACAGAAGTGGAAATCCAACCAGAGCGCGTCAAGTCAAAATGAGATGAAGCAAGTGGTACTGGTTCATATTGCACCAGAACTGAAACCTGACGAAAACAGTGTACGATATAAATGCGATGGCGAAGATTGGAGGTACATCGCATAAGTATATAACATGCAAAGTTTGTGGCTTTTGACATTACACATCTAGCAGCCTCCCAAAACTACCACGATAACGAGCCAAAAATTTTGTAACTTGTCTTCGCAATGTCCGAGATGGGATCAGTGGCGATGCAAGAGTAGCATGAGAGCAGAAAGCGTGGGTCACCAGAAGTACGTTTCAGTTCATTCCAGCAAGCAGTACAGACCCCAGATACAAATGAGTCAGACTCGGTTTTCCTACTCAGTTCAGCCAACCGTAGGAACTTAGGTTACGAAAAAAGTCTACAGACCGGCAATATTTATGCCGGTCAAACACAGCAAACCGATCTCCTAATGCGGCAACAATAGCAATACTGCCGTACCACACAAGACGCAAAATCTATTCTTGTTCACAGTGTCCCCGAGCTCCAGACATTAAGCGAGCTAGACGCCA